TCTGGCATCTCCCCGACTCCACCCAACGGCAAAAATACGGCGACCGCGGCGGCGACCAAAAATCAAAAGCGAAAGGCAATGACGCCACGACGGCCGAGTGAAAAAATCCCCGTAGCTGTAGCTGTAACCCTTCCTCTTCTATTTAACACATTTTCCTTTATTGTCCCACCTTCGATTCCACTTCCTAATTCTTCTTTCCTTCTTTAGTTAAAATAAACAACATTCTTTTCTTTAAACGCGCATCTGTGACAAGCATCTGTATACAAAATGAATTAATTTTTAGCGTAACGCTTATCTACGACCGGAGAAAAACATGAGATAAACTTTTCAAATATGACAAATAATTTTCTTCATTTTACAATACGTAAATTCGTCACAAATAAGTGAATAAAATAAACAAATTACAATTCGGCTATAAACAAAAATCAACCATCGTCTAAAGTACATACATTTATACAGCAGTATCTCTTTTTATTTTTGTATCGCTTGTTCCTCCTTTTTAACAATTTTTTTACGCTTCATTCTTTGTTTCTTTCATATCTGTTGACGCTTTTCTTGTTCAGCGTGAGTCTCTAACTTGCACCCGTCGATTAGGGTTTCTTATATTCTTACCGTCTCGCCCTTCTGTACACTATTGTCCGTTACGCATTGTTCACGGTTTTTCCACGCATTCTTCATTTCTCGTCACGCCCTTTAGGTTTGTAAATTAGGCCCCTTCTCCTTCCAGCCCTTATTTTCGTAATGGTCTCTTTCAGATTCACACCCCTACGCACATTTCTCCTCTCCTGGTCCCTCTTTCATGCTTCCTTCAAGCAAGTCTTCCAAACGCCCCATTCCATGAATGCACCTCTTATCCTTTCAATTTCCTCGCTCAATTAGTTCCTTCACTTTCTCTTCGTTTACACCTGTTTCAAATTCTACTTCTAATGTTCCCTTAAAATCTTTTTTACCTACGGCTCTTATCATTCAAGTTTTATGCATCCCTTTTTTGTTCACACTATCTTTCTTGCCTTTTTTTCTTCGCATATCCTTCGCCCTCTCTGTTTTTCACGTTTGAATAAACTTCAGATCACCTTCTGAACGTCTCTCTTTCTTGTCCCCTTCGGTATCCTCGATTCAGAAGGTAGAAACTGGCTCCAGCCAGCATTAACAATAAAAATGGAAACAAATAATAAATTTCTTCCATGGGGATCGCAGTTGGAAGCGTCCCCATTATACTTGCCGCATTGCCACGTTGTATAGCAATACTGATTTTTTGTTTTAAATAACTAGTAGCTCGAGGTTCTCCAGTAATACTGGCAATACGTTTTCCTAAACACTCCACAAAAAAAATCGATGTAAAATATTTTCAAAATGGCCGCACTTCCGGAAATACCGGAAGTTGCTAGTAACTTCGTTATTTTAAATGACAACCCCTAAACTGTTAAAGATAGCTATAGGAACATGTAATATCAAAATATGCCAATTTCGATTTTCTATCTCATGCAATAGTAAGAACATGGTCATTACATTTAAAACACTGAGTTTTTTGTCTTTGAAGTTTCTTAAATTTGGATCTCCATAGGTGTGGTTGTACGCAACTTAACTTTTTTTTAAGTACTCTAAAAGAAAGCCCTATTCTTTCACTATGAACAGATACAAATGGGTTGCCATGACTACAAGTAATCAATTATCAAGGTACCATCTGCATCCGCCATTTTGTTTCTTAAAATCAAAATAACATAAAAACCATAAATGGCAGATATCGACATATGGGTATGAAAAGAACTGAAATTTCACGTAAAATCCAAAAATGGAATAAAAAATAGGGGTTGCCATTTAAAATATCGAAGTTACTATCTATTTTTTATTTATTTATTTATTTTGCCTTTATTTTTTAAGTGGGCGGGGTTTCAGCCGAGGCTGCTCTACCAACCCAACCCACTATACATTTACAAATATCCATGCCCGAACCCGGATTCGAACCAGGGACCCTGTACCGCAGTCGAGCTTCCACTGAACTGCGCTACACGGGCCGGGCTACTTCCGGTATTTCCGGAAGTGCAGCCATTTTGAAAATATTTTACATCGATTCGGCCTTCGGAGTAACTTCTAAGTACTCCTAATTTTTAAAAACCTACTTATTTTACTTTCCCAGAAACGTTTAACTATAGCTCCCAAAAAAACACACTGTATATAGAGAAGAGTGGGAACTGGTGTGCCTAGTCTCTTCCCGGAAATAAATGGTTAGTCAAATTATACAGGCAATATCACACTGATAATGCACTTTTACATGAATACTTAATAAAGAATATGAAGGCATAATATGTACATTGTACAGTATAATAAACAAACATGAACAAAGTTTGGAGCACGCCATACTTTCGATATATATCGGCATTTTATGCCAAATGTACCTGAATCCGGATCTTCTTCATATGGGAAATTGATCATTTCTTTTGATAGACCATCATATTTTGGAATTGCGATCTTTTTCTCTGACTAGCTCCAAAAGGCGAAAGGGGTAGAAGACAATCATATTCTTTCAAAAATTCCAAACTTTTTTATTGCGTGCAGGATTCATTGCGGAACAGTTAGGGCAACTGGGAAAACAGCCAAGCTTCAATTAAAAATGGTCAAATATCATCTTGTTGCACAGAATGAATTTCAAAGCATTTCCAAAAGACTAAATCGAAAATGGCCAAAATTCGTTATTGTTACCGAATTTGCAAAAATCATTTTTTCCTGAAGGCGGTTTGGAACCCGGCCAGATCGATTGAACTGGGTCCTGCTATGTCTTCACCAGGGCCGTAGTCAGAGGCTCCGAGTGAGGGGGGTGTATGCAATAAAAAATGCCAACTTCAATAAAAATTCAAAATAATACACCGTACAACATTAAAGGACGGCATTTTAACGCTGCCCATTGTGGCCCTATTTTTTCCAAATGTATACTGTCTGCTATATCTTTTTCTGATTACTTAGAACCAATAAGGCAGTTAGCCAATTATCCGCCATAGAGGAACGCAAATGATTTTTAATTAAACTATATAATAAATACCAAAGTAATAATAATAATTATTATTTTATTATTTGTCATTATACAGAGTGCTCTTTTTTCGCGGCTGTCATGGATATGGATTCTATTTTATTTCTATTTGCACGAAAACCGAGTCGAAGTGGGACGTTTAGAAGACTTTTACAGAGGAATTTGATAAATATGGCCAGAATGGCATAGAACTTTTTTTTGCGTTAGAGTCGCTAATTTTCATCTTATGAACTTTCATCAGAGTTATTTTTCTCTGACGTGCCATAACTTTTAATTTACTACTTTGATTTTACCAAAATACCTTATTATTCAATTTTCACGACAGTGCTTTAGAAATTGCAGCCAAACTCATTTGCGGATTTGCTTTGGTAGTTTACATTTATAATCAAGATAATTAATAAAAATGTCGTTTTAAATGTAGTAAAGCGTTCTTTTGGCAAGATTTTATTATATATTATTATTAAGTTAAAAGTAGTAATCTATCCAAAACCGATTTTTGTCTAAAAGACACTCTCGTGACAATTGAATAATTAAGTGTTATATTTAAAATGTAATATAGAAATCCATAGTAAATTCTTTATTAAAAAAATCTAAAAATTCAATGTTCTACGTTCAAAACAAATTCAAAAAATAATGTCATAGTCTAAACCGCCCATTTCTGAAGTATAATAAATAAATAAATAAATAGGTATACTCGTTTTTTTTTAATACAGAATTATTAAAACGATTCAGTTCTTTTTAATTATTGAAACTAAAAGAGATATCCCACAAGTGGTTTCAATGATTGATTCGCATTTTAAATTTAACTTTACCCCAATTTGACCATTAGTTTTCAACATAAGAGATCCCATCGTCAGGCGCTAAAAATGACCACCCTGTATACTTATCTACCATCTATCCCTATCGCAACTTTTAAACCCATGCAAACATAACGGCTAGAAAAATTTGCGGAACATTTTTAAGCGACCTTTAACCATGAAAGGTAATGGATCTACATCCTCGTAATATCAATGAGAGTAATAACCAATATTTCTTCATTTTGCGTGGAAGGGGCGGCTACAAAACGGTTTTCCGGCTTACCGGCGTATTTTACGCAATTTTTTTCCAATATTAATTTAATTAATTTCATTTGAATAGCGATTTGCCGAGTGCCGACTAACTGAAGTTTTGCCGACTATGGTCACGCGTTAGGGGGGGTGTGACCCCCCCATTCCCCTCGTCAATCCGGCCCTGGTCTTCACAGTTTGGTGAAGTCCCAAATGCAGAAAGATGAAGTTTCCAAATAGCCTTTGGCATTAATTCCGTCAATACACTTTCTCTGCTTCTCCGAAATTGCACTGCCGAATGATGTACCAAGCAATAATGTGCCCATTTCCTGATTCTTCATCCTTGAACGCTAATAACCTCGTAAACTTCACGCCGTAAAATACTACCCACAACAAAACGTACACAAACCTTGAATGAAAACCTCAATTTCCATACTCGATTTTATGGCGCTTGTAATTGCAGGTGTAATAAATTGCGAGTGGACCAATTAAACAAATTAGCAGTAGAATTTACAATGCCTGCGTTCTTCTCCTACTTTGCAAATGGGAACTTTAAAAACGCACGCTTTCTATTCTAAGCACTTAATTACAAGTGATCCATTTTAATCTTCCTTTTGTTAATTAATTGTATACTTATAGGGCAAGAGAAAGCGATAGGCCCGAGCCTAGGATGGCTAATTTTTTGCTATGTGAACACGATTGGTAGGTAGTACACCCATTGATTGCCTTATTTTGTATTTAAAAAAAAAGAAAAAGTGGAATTTTGCGCAACAAAAACCATTCTCACTATTGTCTATTACAAACGTTATGTAAAATTGTTATTAATTTATACGACGATTCATTGCGTTAGGAAGCGAAAAAGCGGCGCTGATGGGCTTAATTCAAAATAGCGGCGAAAGTAGTGATATCTCAAGCTTTCTTTATTTCAGATTTCAGTCGCCGAAGATGGACGCGTCGTTGAAATCCAAGGAGAAGAGGAAGGAATGGACGTGGAAGCAGCAGACTGATCTGATCAAGTGGCAAGGGGCGTCCATGGACGGGCCGCTTTTACGTTTGGAGAATCCCGAACTGGCGGCCCTGGCCTTGGAGTGCTTCGACTGCATCCTAAGGTACTGCGGTGACATCCCCTTGACTCCTGCCACGTCCGAAGTGAAATGCGTTTACACGGTTCTTATGGTAAGCATCTGACTGGTCCGCCCCCAAATCCTAAGACCTATTTTGCAGCACTGCCACAAGCATATGCCCTTGAGGGACGAAATCTACTGTCAGCTGATGAAGCAGACGATCAGCAACAAGTCGGAAAATTCCGATTCGCCTCAGCGGGCGTGGAGACTGCTGTCGATAGTCGCCGCGTATTTCGCGTGTTCCGATCTGCTAAAACCGTATTTAATGGAGCACCTGACGAGCGCGGCGTCGGACCGGAGGCGCGTGTGTCACGGTACCGCGGCGGTGTGCCTTTCGAACTTGAGGAAGACTCAAAGGTGCGGCGGTCGGAAGAACGTTCCCTCGGTCGAGGAGGTGACGGCCGTTAGCGCCGGTCGAAGTGCGCGCCGGCAGATTTACAGACTTCCGGGGGGCGCAGAGAGGGTCGTTAACACCAGATGCAGTACGGTAGTGGCGGATGTGATCGCTGAACTTTGTAGCCTTATAGGAGTTACGGCTGAGGTGGAGCAGCAGGAGTTTAGCTTATATTGTATTGTGCAAGGTGACGCGTTTACCATGCCGTTGGCTGCCGATGAATATATCTTAGACGTCACCACGGAACTACACAAAGCGGCCCAGCCTTTCTATCTTATATTTTGCAGATCGGTTTGGTATCACCCGCTGAGACACGATGCTAGTCCTCTATACACGGAAGTACTCTTCAATCAAGTGGCCCCCGACTACTTGGAGGGGCTGTTGCTCAAATTAGGAACGTCAAATCTTCAACCGAGCTTTGTGCGTGACATAGCGCTTGTGGCAGCACTGTTGCACCGAGCAGCAGACTTAGGCCACGCCCCCAGTTTAAAGGAGGTGAAATTCTTGTTACCAAAGCCAGTGTTGGGGTTGCGCGAGCCCCGGCCGCCCCAGTGGTTAGCGCTCGTGCAAACCTCCTGGGGGCAAGCGGCGGGCATGCTGGTCTCCCGTGCCAAACACCGAGTTCTGCAAATTTTAAGCAATTGGCCCCTGTTCGGCAGCTCCTTCTTTGCGATCAAGCGCGTCTCCGGCAATTTGGAAAACTGGTCCGACTACATCTTGGCGCTTAACCGAACCGGCGTCCACTTCCTCGACATGACAACGCACGAGACCGTGCACCACTGGCCCTTCGCCGAGGTAATCTCGACGAGGAAAGTGCGATCCGAGGACGGCGCCCTTTTCCTGGACATGAAGTGCGGCAATTTACTTCAGCAGCGCGTTACCAGGCTGCAAACCGAACAGGCGCACGAAATCTCGAGGCTAGTAAGACAATACATTAATTTGGAACAGACGCAAACCACGCGAAAACATTAATTCCACGCCGTGTATTTATTCGTAACCCAACACGAATGTACCGTAATGGATTTTCTATTTATTAAGTGTATATTTATTCAGAAGCGATTTTTCAGTAGTTACCAATATTTTGGATCCATAGTCTGAGCTGAAAAATTGATCCGTAGGTAGTTCGGACGTGCAAACGAGAAATTCGGTAAACTGCCGCCGCCCCCGTCCGTAAACATTGTAAAGAAGCACCAAAAACCCAGATATTACACAAATAGTAAATATTTTTGAAACGATCGGTGATCCTTAAACACCTCCCCATTGTACATTAAGAAGTCATGTGTTGTAATGTAAAAAAACGGTGACTGTATTTTATAATAAAATATCTTCAACAATATCTCGGTCTTTTTGTTTTTCTTGTTGTTATATTCAGGTTTCAAAGTACAAAGAAGTGAACTTACATTTATAAGAGTTTTGGTAGTTAACAAAAGCATATCCCGGAAGGTTTTCCTCTTTTTTTCTGCCTTGTGAAAAATGAAGTCCCTAGAGCTACTCTCGTATAATTAAGACAGGGCAACCTTAATTTGAATTTGGATTTTTCTTGCGTTTTATTTATGTTTACCGATCCTTAGAGCGACACACGCACATATCCTCGAGCAACTCGGTTCACAACACAACCTAGGTCCAATCACGATCATCTGCCATGGTTCGGTTAGTTTTGGCGAGAGTTTTGATTTTGGTTTTGAGTTGCGTAGTCGTTTCTAGGGTGGAGCTCGGGCTATGACAGAATTTTGGTACTGTGACCTAGGTCTATTTCTAACCTTTAATATTATTAAAATTTCCAGGGGCTTTCCGAAAAGGTTTCTGAAATTCAAATATTGTTTCTGCATTTTTAACAGAAGATTTCTAGTACTACTCTGCTAAAGTAGAGAATTTGGCATTCAAAGGGAAGAGTATTTCTAAGGCGATTCCTAAGCAGAATTTGTAGTTTTCAAAAGAAATTTTTCTAAAATCTTCCGAGCGAGGATCAAGATACCCCTAATGCTGGCCCGTAGTGACGTGCAGTATATTCATTTTCCCTAAGGTTTTACCCGTGTAGGGGCGGGAAAGAATACCCCTACCGCAGGGGCACTGCGCGTCGTAAAAGGCGACTAAACAACGGTTGACTTGTCACAACCCCAAAGGAGGGAGTATAGGAAATTATTTGGTCCCCTTGGTGGACCATTGCATCATATTGTAGTCATTGTACTTCCGTAAAAACGCACGAAGTTGGATATTTATGGTGTCACTTCTCCAATAAATCCACTTTACCTCTACAACGTGAGCTAGAAATGTCTCAGGAAAGATGTGTTAGTCATTTCATAAAAGCACACGTAAACCATCGATTTTTTTTGTTATCACGTCCTCTTGGAATGTCAAAACGTTTGAAGTACCTACCTACATTAAGCAACAAGATACAATTATCATATTCCTCAATTAGAACAGCAATAATCTATTCAGGGCGAGAAGATGTCTTCCATGTTCTCCAGATTAAGATATATTCACAAATAATCATAAGCTAATTTTAATCTTTAATTGTAAGGAAAGGAACGTCGGGGGTTGGGAAGGCTTTCGGTTCAACCCCCAGACTCATCCCCGCAAGGTTCATTAGAGACTTCTGCAAATATTGTTATAAACGACTTTCTTAGAAAGATCCTCAGGAATATCACCCTTGCCTAGTCTTCCCAGATTCATTGGACGTCAGACCTTTTATAATAAATTTCGGTCTGATTTAAGCTTGCAAAATTTTTTAAGTCATTCATACCACCATGTATATCACTCTTACATTGGGGGGTTGTAACTTTACGTAATACACCAACTATGTTTATTTCTTTGACAGATTATGTTTTAATAATCTATAAACAACCCTTAAACTGCCTTTTAATAATAAATTTCGGTCTGATTTAAGCTTGCGAAATTTTTCAAGTCATTCATACCACCATGTATAGCACCCTTGCATTGCGGGGGTTGTAACTTTACGTAATACACCAACTATGTTTATTTTTTTGACAGATTATGTTTAAATAATCTATAAACAACCCTTAAACTGCCTTTTAATAATAAATTTCGGTCTGATTTAAGCTTGCGAAATTTTTCAAGTCATTCATACCACCATGTATAGCACCCTTGCATTGCGGGGGTTGTAACTTTACGTAATACACCAACTATGTTTATTTTTTTGACAGATTATGTTTAAATAATCTATAATCAACGCTTAAACTGCCCTTTAATAATAAATTTCGGTCTGATTTAAGCTTGCGAAATTTTTCAAGTCATTCATACCACCATGTATATCACTCTTACATTGGGGGGTTGTAACTTTACGTAATACACCAACTATGTTTATTTCTTTAACAGATTATGTTTAAATAATCTATAAACAACCCTTAAACTGCCTTTTAATAATAAATTTCGGTCTGATTTAAGCTTGCGAAATTTTTCAAGTCATTCATACCACCATGTATAGCACCCTTGCATTGCGGGGGTTGTAACTTTACGTAATACACCAACTATGTTTATTTTTTTGACAGATTATGTTTAAATAATCTATAATCAACGCTTAAACTGCCCTTTAATAATAAATTTCGGTCTGATTTAAGCTTGCGAAATTTTTAAGTCATTCATACCACCATGTATATCACTCTTACATTGGGGGGTTGTAACTTTACGTAATACACCAACTATGTTTATTTCTTTAACAGATTATGTTTAAATAATCTATAAACAACCCTTAAACTGCCTTTTAATAATAAATTTCGGTCTGATTTAAGCTTGCGAAATTTTTCAAGTCATTCATACCACCATGTATAGCACCCTTGCATTGCGGGGGTTGTAACTTTACGTAATACACCAACTATGTTTATTTTTTTGACAGATTATGTTTAAATAATCTATAATCAACCCTTAAACTGCCCTTTAATAATAAATTTCGGTCTGATTTAAGCTTGCGACATTTTTCAAGTCATTCATACCACCATGTATATCACTCTTACATTGGGGGGTTGTAACTTTACGTAATACACCAACTATGTTTATTTCTTTAACAGATTATGTTTAAATAATCTATAATCAACCCTTAAACTGCCCTTTAATAATAAATTTCGGTCTGATTTAAGCTTGCGAAATTTTTCAAGCCATTCATACCACCATGTATAGCACCCTTGCATTGCGGGGGTTGTAACTTTACGTAATACGCCAACTATGTTTATTTTTTTGACTGATTATGTTTAAATAATCCATAACCAACCCTTAAACTGCCCTTTAATAATCAATTTCCGTCTGATTTAAGCTTGCGAAATTTTTTAAGTCATTTATACCATCTTGTATAGCACTCTTGAATTGCGGGGGTTGTAACTTTACGTAATACACCAACTATGTTTATTTTTTTTACAGATTATGTTTAAATAATCTATAACCAACCCTTAAACTGCTCTTTAATAATAAATTTCGGTCTAATTTAAGCTTGCGAAATTTTTTAAGTCATTCATACCACCATTTATAGGACTCTTGTATTGCGGGGGTTGTAACTTTACGTAATACACCAACTATGTTTATTTTTTGACAGATTATGTTTAAATAATCTATAACCAACCCTTAAACTGCCCTTTAATAATAAATTTCGGTCTGATTTAAGCTTGCGAAAATTTTTGCCATTCATACCACCATGTATAGCACTCTTACATTCCAGGGGTTGTAACTTAACGTAATACACCAACTATGTTTATTTTTTTGACAGATTATGTTTAAATAATCTATAAACAACCCTTAAACTGCCCTTTAATAATAAATTTCGGTCTGATTTAAGCTTGCGAAATTTTTTAAGTCATTCATACCACCATGTATAGCACTCTTGCATTGGGGGGTTGTAACTTTACGTAATACACCAACTATGTTTATTTTTTTGACAGATTATGTTTAAACCCTTAACGGCCCTTTTATAATATGGACTAGTCTTAAAATTCATGATTAATTAGAAGACACTAGAGACAGGTTTGGTTTTAGAGTAATAAATTGCAATAGGCAACTCAAAAATTAAAAAAATTGACTGTTTAATTTTTTGGGGAGTATACTCATTCTATATTAGTATTTCCGCATCATTACATCAACAGGAGGCGATGGGGGACATATCCAATTTAACTTTTAACTTTAAGAATATATTTACGTTATTAAGTGGCGTTATTCCCCCCCCCCCCTCCCCAGGTACGACTATGCAATTGGCAAAAATGGCTAGAGGGTACCTGAGTTAAGCGTTTTCAACAATAAAAATTTGCGGGAGAACCCCGAAGTTTTCCACAATCTTAATACAAGGTTCACATAATTTCGTCGAAAACTATATCATGATTACTTTTAAGTTGCTAAGAGGTGCGTAACAATCCAACATCAATTTCTTAAGAGTTTACGTTATTATTCCACGACAGAAGTGTAGCATTATTTCCACAAATTTGGTTTTCTGCCGGCCTTAGAAATTTGCCGCTATGGACTCGGGCCCACATGACCCCATGCTAAATCCGACCCTGGTTGCACCCTGATAAAGTGTCATAAGTATATAAGCGACATTTATTTATAATAACGGTATAAAAATACAATTAAGCACTTTCTAGGCACTAACTTAAAGTTGAAGACTAACCGAACATTAACATTAAACCTGCGTCGGACTGTGACGCGGTGTTTTCTGAGTTGGCTGCCCCCATCTTTGAGCCGTGTACTGCACGTATCCAGGATCGCTAGGGCTACTGGGCTGAGTCGGATGGCCATTAGGTGAATTATTATTGGTGTACAGATAGGACGGTATTACGATGTCATACTTTCCATATTGCCCTGAAAAGATTTCTATACTGACCAACGCCCCTTGTCCGTCGGTTACCTTTTCTAATTTGACTCCAGACAGGAGAGTGTCTTTCTGACTCGGTAGCCTCACTACCCTTTCCTGTATGCTCATGGTTGACATCGCCATCGCCGTCCTTCCCGTAGATGCCGAACCTTCTCCCCGAGTCCCTCTCCTTCATCTTCTTATATCCATTTTGTGTCGTTTTGAAATCGCCGGGACTGCTTACCTTAAACTGGTGGTGTCCATTTAGCTCGACCTTCTTTGGTAACGTGCTGTCTTCGTGTACGCCAACCCCATTGTCAAGCTCCGTCGGCTGGTGGTCTTTCTCTTCGGCGTTTGGCTGCGGTTTACTGACGATTTGTATCTTCAGAGGCTCGGGTTTTGCTTTTTTCGCACGCGGTCCGCATAAATCTAATAGGAATAGTGCCGCGGTAATTAGCGATAAAGTTCCCAATACGGCGGCGTTGTCTACCAAATCGGGTGGGACTGAGTCTAGTGCCGCGAACGCCAGACTCCCTGTGAACAGAGGGCGCGTAATTATCTTTAGTCGTTGCCTGGGCACTACATTACCCAAAACGATGTAGAGTAGCGCACCGATTCCTAATAGAAACATTTCTAGCACTCTTCTCGCCGTCGGGATCTCATTGGCAAGTTTTGCGAAGAGCAAGCCGAAGGTGATTAGAATGTATCCCCCGTAGGTTGCATCCGCCACAGCGGAGCCGACCTTGTCCCAGGTGACGTTGTTCAAGAGGCTCCATTCTCGGGATAGCTTTTGCAGGTACAGAAACAGTCTCGAGGCTTCGTCATCGGTCACACGCTTGGTTATGAAACAGGCTACTGCGAAGCACTGAAACAGAACAAAAAAAAAATTAACGGGTAAAATCTTAAGAGCTCTACAGGTTGCTGAGCTGCAATATCAAAATGTCATCAACAAAGCGCTCTTAAGAGCTGAGTTGATAGTCTCCCAATTCCCCAGAGGAGCAAGAGATCTCGGCTGGTGATCTTTCTCAGATTTACAAGGGCAAACTCTATAATCTTACAGCTTATCAAAAAAGCACACTGGACAAGTTTGCCTAGTAGGATAACCTGCCCCAACTATGGAAAAGCTTTACACAATTCTTACTCACTCTTAAAGTGGTTTTATTTACATTATATTAAAATACTAGCAGTCCCAACGACTTGCGTATTGCCCTTGGGAAATCCCGTTTTTTCCCGTATCCGTTCCCATTTTTCCTCGTTCCGGTCTGGACTTTGAGAATGCTCTTTCGGAGTACACCTTCAAAGAAACCTCTAAGTTCTAAATGTCAAGTCTTTTTTGTAAAATTGTAAAACATAATATCCTGTTTTTTTTCCTATTTCCGTTCCCGTGGGAATTTCGGAAAGTGTTTTACAACCTTTGCGGGCATACGTAATTGATACGTTTGACTCGCCTCTCGCCTGAAGAATTGTAGTATTTTCATGGTTTCCTAAAATTACCAAAAACGTTTTCAAACAGAATCTATGTAATACGTGAGGCCCAATGATCGTTTCCTATAAGTTTCTTAGAATGGTTTAGAAACCTTGTTTTTTATTTATTTGTAGTTTATTTCTTGCCTTCTTCCTTTTCTCTACATTTAGAAGATTTCTTCTCTCTCTTCACTTTAACTTGTTCTTCTTCGATCATGTCTTCTTTCTTGAAACTCTTCTCAATTTACTTCTTTCTCTCCATAAATAATTGCTATTCTTCCTCTCTATCCAAAAATCCTGTAGTATAAATCATCACTTCTTGAATACTTCTAATTTTCTCACTAATTCCTGCATTCAAACTTGGTAATTCTTCTACTTCGTCAATTTCTGCTTCGTTTCCCATCAATTCTTTTTTCTTTCTAGCTTATAATCCCTTTCTAACTTCTGCTCTGCCACTTCTAATTTCCCTGGAATGTCCTGTGATTTCCTTTGACCTTTGTTTCTTATTTTAACTTTTCATTTATTTCACTTAATAGTGCTAATTCTCCCTGATTCTTCGTATTCCTTTGTTCTAGACTGTCCATTAGATTCTTGTGCTCTGAGTTCTTCTCGAAACTTCTAAACAATTGGTGGACACTTCGTAATTATTTTTTCTTCATCTTGCTTAATCTTTGTTTCATTTTTATTTTATTAAAATTTTCTTCTTCTTTGTTATTAACTTCTTTGGTTTGTGGGAGTTTAATTTGTTTTACTGCTAGTTCTTTTTTATCTTCTTCAATTGTTTACGTTTCTGGTATTATTCTAGCACATCTCGCAACGTCTGGCTATCGCAATCAACCATGCTTTGAGTGTGGTCACCTGGGTCACCAGAGGACGACCTGTCCTCAAACCAGCTGTTTTGCATGTCATGATGAGGGCCATATTGCGTCCAAGTGCCCTCGCTCTCAGGGACAATCAAGGAATAGAGAGAGAGCAGGGCCTCCGTTTCGTTTTCCGCTGAAATCTCCATGAGTAGGGAGTCGTCTGCACTACCGGGTTCCTTGCATCGAATTTCAAGGTCCTTAGAGCCCTTGTCCGGTGGTTCTGATGATGATATTGGAATTAGCTCTACAAATTCCCTCCCTTGAGATGCCTAACGTACCAATCTCCGATCCTGGCCCGCCATTAGTCCAAGACGAGCCGATGCTACAAGGGTCTTTGTTTTAAATCGTAATGGCGCCATGTCCATTAACCTAGCAGAGCAAGGTCAGCAGAACACAATCAAACATATTCCATAATTAGGTGCTAATTAAGTGCCGTATTCCCGAACTAAATGCTCCTTTTTTTTAAATTATGACATGTTATGCCAGGTTCATATGAACTCAGCAGAGTACTACCTTAAAAATGAAAAGTGAACTAACTATAATTAGGTGCTAATTAGGTGCTAATTATGTGTCCTATTCCCGAATTAAATGCTCATTATTTTAAAATTATGAACCTGGCAGAACATGATAATTTTAAAAGAAAGGAGCATTTAATTCGGAGAGAGGGCTCTTAATTGCACCTAATTATAGTTAATTCACTTTTCATTTTCTTGGTTTTTTTAGGTAGTGTTCTGCTGAGTTCATATGAACCTGGCAAAACATGTAATAATTTTTTAAAAAAAGGAGCATTTAATTCGGGACTAGGGCACTTAATTAGCACCTAATTATGCAATATGTTTGATTGTGTTCTGCTAACCTTGCTCTGCTAGGTTCATGGACATAACGGCGCCCCATTGACGGTAATTGCATCGTTATACACTCTAAAGGGAGGTCATATGTTTCACTGCAAATTAAGTTTCCTTTTGAAAAGATAAGCAAATTTTTGTTGAACCAGCGTTTTATGTAGACATAGCTTTCCATTATGAAATAGGCGGATTAAGTCAGCTTAGTATAGAGAGGGGATGAGCTTTGCAAACAGTTATAGTGTGGTCTGTAAAGGCATCCGAAGAGTCAATACGACAGAATTAAGATTCTATCGTCAGCGTCTAATATAGCAGCCCAAATAATCAAATTTAGGTTCGGGATAAGGTACGCGAAAAAGTGAAGTTCCAATTTGGGAGTCATAATATAAAAAGTGCATTTTCGCTACCCTTAGCGGAATTCTTATGCATATTAGTATATCAAAAGAAGTGCCAAATTCCACAATCATTGAACCGCGCTCTACGCAGTGCCACAACGTATAAAGAAAGATACTCTTAATATCCCGTATAAAGTGAAACTGCGATAAAGAAAACTGTTAACAAAGTTAGATAATATTTACGTTCATTCTTGTGCCGCTAAAGTTAAAACTAATCAACGCGAAAAGTTTACGAAAGGATTTCCCAAAAATTAAACTTAATTTCAAGAACAATGTGCTCGTTCCTTTTTCCAACCCCAAATTTGTACTGACCACGGACCAGGAGAATTAATAACCGAAACCTGTATTTCAACATGGCTCAACACCAAAATTCCCATGCAAAGAGTATTTCAACTAGTCGGCTTTAAGAGTGCGTCAAAGAAATCACCTCTTAACTATCCCAGAGTATTGAACCAACCACGTTAGCTGGAAAAATCGCCCATAAAATGTTCTTTTTAAAATTTGTTTTATGATTTTTGTAAATTTAAATCGACAGCTTTATGATCCGTGAGATAAAGGGAAGTTCTGACCTATTACTTTTACCATTAAACTGTAAATATTTGTATTCCTATCGAAAGAAACCCTTGAATTTGTGACCAGTCTTTTCAGACTTTTTATTTTGCGGAATCAAGGGTCAGATGTTATTTGTCATTAATTTGTCACCGTAAAACCAATTCAATTGATCAATTTGGTACCTACTAGTAAAAGAGATGGCCACCTCGACCTAGAATGTAACTATTACGATCTTTACCAAGTAGAATTTTAATATTTAGACAATTCCATAAAAAAAGCAGTGTAACCAAGGAGATGAATTTTCTGAAATCCTACCGATGTTCGTTTTCAAGATGATTTATATTTTCAAAAGCGATTTTTAGGAACCTAACAATATACTTAAAAAAGTTCTTAAAAAAGGCGCTAGTAAGTTCCCTAGGAATAAATTCGTAATAGACGGTGCCCAGTAAGATAATTTTGAAGGATTCTCAATGGGATGTTTTTTGAAATGAAATGGTTCTTAGCAAATTCGAATAAGATTTAAGGGCACTTCTTCAGAATGCTTTGTTCTATAATTATTCATTGGCGCTCTCGCGCCTTGGCCGATAGTGTAATCAATCCATGCCGGACATGACGTAGGGTGGTAATTAACAATGTGATATACGATTTTGATGGCGAAAATTAATTGTCACTCACCACTTCAAAAATTTTCAGTACAGTCCATTTATCGAAAGCCATTTATTGAACACGAGCAAATTCACGGGCAAACACCACAACGAAATGAATGGGCGCGTATATCGTCACTGCATACACTTAATTTTTTTCGGTTTGTTTTCATTTAATGCACTAATAATCATCAAAGGCAACAACAGTTTGTGCACGTATATGGTGATTTTTATTAACGGTAAACGATCGGGCAATTAAGTTATTTAGCTACTAAACGTTTTCTATATATTAAGTGAAAACGCACCTTCTAATGGAAACTTTTTTTTTACTCTGAGTACTCTTTGTACCAGTTCTAAGAGTGCCAAGGTTCACGTTATTAGTGAATACATTTAATTTTGGAATATTTACACACCATTTATGGAAGAACAACAACCATTGTCATGTAGGTAGTTATATAAGCCGCGGCGATTAAGTTACGACTTTGGGCGATAAGTACGCGGAACCCAAATGAATGAGTTTTTTTTACCTACGTAAATTGCCTATCAGTAATTGCTACTATTTTCCCTACCACCAAAGGTATGGTAAGGTAAAGTAGGTTACGCCTTCTACAAGATTCATGTCGCAGGCATGAAAATTGTTTAATTACCTCTACGTGAACGGGTGTAATTTTGAAATAAAAACCATTACGTGCGACGTTCACGTGTAGTCTTCTGGGGCGCTTTTTTGACGATTCGGTATTGGTCTAAAATAAAATGTCCTTCAGCTAAATTACGTATTTTGCTCAGTAATTGATTAATTTTTTTGCTTTTAAACAAACACAAGGTAAAATCGCGTGAGAAACCACATACTTAAGTACAGATTTCCTGTTTTGTATGCTTATGTAGATTAGTTGGGTTGGGACGGAAACTGTAACAGTCTAACAAAAAAGCGACTTTGACCTGTGCTTTATGCACTTTTTGCAAGTGCTGGGGCGCTATCCTTGCCCCCGCTGTGAAGGTTTCACTTTTGAGATGATTCAAGTAACAAGTTTATACTTATTATGTAACAGTTTCTCATTCTTCTGTTACGGATTATGTCTTCTTTTGTAGCGTTTGTCAATGCACTCCACTTTTACTTTTCCTTGCACCCCTTTTTAAGCAATATGGTTTCCGGACAAATTGGTCGCCTCCGATTCCGATCACTTCTATGAGCTCCAACAACCATCGTACCCTGGAGGAAGTGTAGGAAATTTTGTCTACTTTCATTTTGTATAGAATGGGATTATAAAAAACGCTTTCTTTCTTAGATTTAGGGCAAAAACTGCAAAAGTGCCCAAATTTGGGTACGAACTTGTAACGAAGCACCTGTAGATGAACACCCTGGATCTAAAAGCGTTTTTGGTAGCTTCGTTACGAAAAGTGTCGGGGCGGAAGCATTTATGTTGGTTCTAAGAGTTGAAGATAGACGCTGATTTAATTTCTTGAGTTGTGATTCAACCGCTGATACCGCAAATAACACTGCAATTAATTCGAAGCTTGTAACCGTTTTCGTCAAGAAGAGGGCAAATTAATATTTTAGAATTTCAGCCACATTAATAAGTGATTATTGGCAGGTTTTTGTATCCCATGTTAATTTAGAACGAACATTAAAACTGTAACAATAGGTGTTAATTGGACTAACGAATTTAGAAATCCGGCCAATTACCTAAGTCAGGAAAATTAACAGTAGCTAAATCCTAAATATAAGCTATAGCTTTTGCTTGTTCTTGCACAGTAATTTCTACCGTAAGCTTTTTCTTACTTTTGTGATAGGGAAGGATATTGTTTTGCTTTCCTGCATTTCGCATCTTCTTGGGCAATTTGCTAAGGCCCTTCTTTGAAAAATCATTTTGGTAACATCCTCGGGAAACTTTCTTGAAATCCTTATTTAAAACCCTTCTTCAAAATTATATTATCTATCATACATCGCATTGGACAGGAATTTCTTCCTAGGAAACTTACGAGCACCTTTCTGAAGAACCGTTGTAAGCACATTTTTATGAACATTTTGTCTTCTTAAAAACCGCTCCTGAAAATATAAACATTCGTTGGACCCTATTCTAAGCCGATCGTGGACTGATTAGAATTCTTTATTAAATTTTTCTTACTTTTTTTATTATATCCGTTTACTTTTAAGTAGCGGGGTTTAAGCCAAGGCTGCTCTACAAGTGCGATTCACTATACACTTACAAATCTTTCATGGCCGTACTAAAACTAAATCTTTCAAAGATTTTTTTTCGAAATTTAGTGGATTTCCTAGAAATCTTATTGAAAAACGTCTCAGAAATATTTCTATAAATCCTATTAGAAAGAGTATGTTTGGAGAAATCATACTTGAACTCGTGTGAGAAATCTGAATAACGTAAGAGTTGTCTTAAAACCCCTACTAAAAACCTTGAAATCTTCCTCCCTTAAAACTACTCTGGCAAAACTGTACACAATTTTGCATAATTTACTAAATATATATTTTCATTTTTAACTTGGAAAGGTATTAAGTACTATTAAAACAAGTTTCTTTTGAAAGCAATGTTTTTCACTGGAAAGTTCCTTGAATGTTTTTAAACATATAAAATCAGACGATGTTTTCTTCTTGTTTAATTTATATTTAATGATAAAAAGGCAAATATATTTTACGAATTTAGCCAGATTTTTTAAAACAGGGGAGGTATTCGTAAAATAGGGCAGTCGATATAACAAAAAATATGGGGGTTGCTTAAGGGTACTCCGAATGGAATGAAATTTTTGGTTGTTACACCAGGATGTCTATCCTAAGTTTTGGACCTCGAGAACAGTGTGCTAACTTGGATGGGGGCCAAAAAACCCTTAAATTTTCGGACTTTTTTTCAGTTTTTCCGATATATCTCGTAAACTAAGAATGTTTTTAGTATATCATAGTGCAATACAAAGTTCTAGGATATTAAATTTACTAACATTGGGACCATCGAACTTGACAACCTCACAACCGAAATGTGACTTGCCAGGCTGTCCTCAGCCAGAGATGCCGCCAAGTTAGCACTCGGTCCTCGAGATCAAAAATATAGAATTGACATCCTGGTGCAAACCCAAACATCCATTCATTTTGGAATACTTTTCAGGTAAGAAGTGGATATCAAATATTCAAATGGACTAGCACACCCTCTTACAGAGTTTTCCATTTTACCTTCCTTCATATTAATAAGAAAAAGGCAAATTTAGTCTACGATTTTAGCGAAATTGTTAGAAAACGGGGGATGATTTCGCGGCAGGGGCAGCTCTTTTCATTTCAAACTGAACAAGTAAGAGTAATAACTTTAATATTTATAACTTTTAAAGCTATACCTATATTGTTAAATGCAATTAATTCCTCATTATTTTTGAAGGAAATTTTAGTTTTCATGGTAGCGGCAGACAAGACTACTTTTCCTGCCGCCTTTCACTTTACCTGCCGCACCGGTCACGTTGCTAAATGTCCAGAATGACTTCTGTCATCACTGACAGATTGACATTAATCAAAAGTTCTATATGAAAATTAGTGAAATTTAATATAAAATTCGTCAGTAAAATGACATTACTCCGAAAATTAAAGTACTCGGCCTCGTATTTCAATATTTCCTCGCCAGTAATGTGCCATTTTCCTGACTTAAGTTTTCAGTCTGTTCAGATGATTGAAACTTCGGATTTATCCACTTCTTCGGCATATTCAAGTTTTTAAATTCGATGCGTGAAAGTTTTTAACTCTATTAAACCCTCACATTTATACGTTCTTTCAGATACATAGAAGAAGCTTTCGAATACAGTCAAGGAGGAGCACGTATGCATAGTAACGTAGGGCTTAAAGAGGAGGGGGCGCAAATCAAATTCTATAGCATCTTTCCACGAAAATCGATTTCGTATCTTTTCATTTCTTCAAATGCTTCAGTCTTGCGATTTGTCAGTTTATTCGGATTCTTCCTTGAATTGAATCCTTCAGATTCTTGGTACTTTTGTTTTTCCGATTACATATATTTTTTTCCAACTCTTTAGACTTCAAGTTGTTCGGATTTTCCACTACTGGTTCATGATTTACTTTCTTGAAATTATTTAATTTCTTCAGATTAGTCAAACCGTTCGATGAGGAAAGATTATTTGTAGTGATCTTTAATCTTCTTTTGATTTTTAGATTATTTGAATTTTTTGCACTTTTCGAATTCTCTTTGAGCTCGTTTAATCCTTCAGTTCATTTAAATTATTCCGACTGCAGAATAATCATATATTCCAAAACATTCAAGTTCTAAAAACTAACTAGTTCTAAAAAGAGGGTAAGTTTTTCCCCGCAGGCCAATTCTTTACATCATATTTAATGCAAAAAAGGTTATGCAGTTTACGATTTAGACTATAAGGACTATTTTCCAAACTTCCAGTTATTGGAATCTTTGTCGTCATTATTTGTTGAGCAACCTGCATAAATCTGAAAACATATTTGTAAGTAATATATTTTGGATACCAAACCTTGAATATTAATGTTTGGTATAAGTGAATTTAAAAAAAATACATACACATCCCTAAATTTGTTTAAAAAATTTCAAGAATATTCATTCTGATAACGAAGGGAGCGGAATCATCGACCCATCACCGCAATGCCCCAACCGCATCACGGGTAGTTATTATCATTTTCTTCCAGATTTTGTTTCTCGTCTTGTCTTAGTATATTAGTTTTTTTTTTTGCCTTTATTTTTAGTGTTGTGGTTTAATGCTTGGGGTCTGATTTACCCGTGTAGGGGCGGGAAAGAATACCCCTACCGCAGAGGACACTGCGTGTCGTAAAAGGCGACTAAACAACTGCTCATCGGTCGCAACCCGGAATGAATTTATTTGTTTTAATTAAAACTTTGTATGTAGGTAAACTAGAAACTATGGCTTTATTTTGACTACTTTGACTTTTTTTATTTTTAATTAAGATGGGGCGCTTATAATTAGAATAAGTGTACCTTCTCCAAAAATTGTAATTTATTTACCATAACTTTGTACATTAAATGGGAGAAAATCCGCTCACTAAATAAAATAATGAGAACTCGCTCCGGAAGTGGTCAGTGTTGTGGAAATTCGTTACCAATAAATTCACCCCTCTCCCAAAAAAAAAGGTTTTCGACAAACGCATCCAAAGAATCCGCGGTTTATGTATTTTTAGCTTCTTAGCTTGAGCTAGGTGGCTTGTACGTAATAGGTGGGCACGTGAGTTTGCAATTTTCCGAGGGAATGTGGCCCGACGGAGTATATTAGGAATACGGAAAAAAAAATACCGGGCCCTTAAAAGGTTCAAGTGTAGTGCAACTAATTTTTTCCAATAAAAACCTTTACTTTTCATTGAATATTTTTATTCTATGTACATCGGAAAATAAGAAACTTTCGTCGGAATCGTTTTTTTTTTTCTTATTTTTTGATGGCACCCTTCTAACGGCGCTATTTTTGGTTTGAGCTAGGAAGCTGTTCTGTCAAGGACCCGTGTGGCGCAATTCAGTTCAAGTTGGACTGCGGTGCTAAGGGTCCCTGGTTCGAATCCGGGTTCGGGCATGGATATTTGTAAATGTATAGTGGGTTGGGTTGGTAGAGCAACCTTGGCCGAAACCCCGCCCATTCAAAAATAAAGGCAACATAAATAAATAAATAAATTTGGCACTTTTTTATTCATTACGCATTTCCACTCGCATAACATACCAAGAATTATTCTTCTATTTATGGTACGCTGGTATTGCGTACATGCAGTCATACTAAATGCGAGTAGGCAACTTCGTCAAAACCTTTTTTAAACAAAATTTTAGTTTCAGGTTTCAGAGAATTTTTCTTTTAGCGAATTTTCGTGATCGAACTTTCTTGTGGATCTTATTTTGAAGCTGATTTTTTGAGGCGAATATTTCGTGAGAGAATGTAATGGATGATGAACATACATGGTGCACAATTAAGTATGTCAAAGAATAGCTGATTGGTAGGGGGAACCAAACACACATTTTTACCAAACACTCAAACCGAGGATCTAAAATGTTGCGTTGTCTCAAAATTAACGTTTCTTCTTTAATTTTTTCTCATCAAAAGACGAAAGTAGCTTCTATATACCGGGTGAATATTCCGAAATCGATCATAGGGAATTAACATGGGAAAAACTTTTTTTGTAGATCGTTGCTCTTCACGTTAACTTATAGAGTTTATAATGACACCAATCGAAAGAAGATTTTTTTCTCATCTTATCATCAATGATATGCGAATTAGTTTATTTTCAGGTGTATAATTTTACAAAAAATTAGACAATAAATCCAATTACCTAAGTCATGTTAATTTGTGGGTTCATAAATCGCTACCGGTTTTTAATATCAGAAAGAACTAAGTGCGTCATGTTTGTTAACTGCGCCAATTGAAATCGTTATATTCGTATTCGTGAAAGCACAAAAGAAAGAGGGAAATCTTTCTAACTAATCTCATCCTGATCAAGAGTCACATTTGAACCACGGATGAGAAAGTTGTTTTTTGAGTTTCCGCCAACAATATCATTTAATTGTAAAACCAATTCAATCGGTTAAATTGTGAATTTTCTATGATTGGTCTACTAATAAAAATCCCAAAATGTTTAACTTCACAACGAAATTTGCAAAAAATTAAAATAGAAATGTAGAGCTACTGTTACAACATATTCAGGAAACGAATTTTCCGGGAGGTGAATTTTCCATTTTCAAATTTACCTGAAGGTGACTATTTTAACACGAAAAAAACTCGCAATTGCAATAGGTGTTCAGTTCGAGGTTCAGTTATGGAGAGTTAGTTGCTACTTCGTGACTAAGTTCCTGAATATTCTGGGGGGAGGCTTGTTTCCGTATCGAGTTTTTTTTATTACGATCATCGACGACCGAATACCGATAATTCGGGGCGGAGGCCGGTGAATTTACCTGGGTAATTTTCCTGGGGGAATTATTCCTGTACGTGCTGAATCTTTATTCGACTTATTCGATTTTGTAGTGATCACTAGAACGTGATCAAATATAAAAATATTTTTCCCAGGAATAAACACCATACGTTATGACTCGAATACGTAGGGTATTTCAGTGGATCACTCGTATTTTTTCGCTTTCCTAAATGGAAATAGTCTTTAACAGTCCGCAATTAATTACCTTTAACTCAAGAAATACCCAATTTACACTAATCACTTATTAAACACTAAATTCACACTAGTCGGTAGCTACCAGCTACTAGGACCTATAGCCCTATAATTGAATTTTTTGGATAAGATTAATAATTTCACCACGCTCACATTACTTCCGAAAGGATATAGGTAGCTATACCTTCACCAGTGAGTAATACGTGTACGTAATTGGTCACTCCAGTTCACTGTTTTAAAAAGTTTCCAGGAATGAGCTTCAATCGGTACAATTAATTTTTGATAGAGACAATTTGTGGCAGATCATTGAGGGGGTTGCAATGCCAAATCTGGATTCCGTTAACATTACGTTGGTTGCATTACATGAAAGGATTGGTGATGGTCACAAATCCAAACAATTGAGTTACCTACACAAATGGCACGGTAATTGCAGTTCACTTTACCCAAGAAATTCTCGTTTAAATCGCTTGTCGGACAAACAACTTCAAAACAATTGCTTATTCAACCCACACACCTTAAATTTAAAACCAGATGACATTAACCTAGAAAAATCCTTGCTCGCTTCTCTTACGTAAAGGTATAGTTATAATAATAACGTAAATAAGACAATTTTCTCCTATTAAAAAAATAGCTCTGCGACTAACAAGTGTTCATTGGCAAACGTTAATGGGGATTAATTAAGATACACATGCATGGGCACGTATCTTACTATATAACAAAAGGTCGCACTTAACATACATAGGTAAAGTACCTGTCGCAATAATACCTTGCACAATAGATATATTCCACAAAAAAGATCTCACGTTCTTATTGGGGTTACGTTTTAACTGAGTTCGAGGTAAAATTAAATTAGTATCTTTTGTATAGAATTAGCATCTACAAATGGGCAACAGACGAACTTCTGTATCTCAAGAAAAACATTGAAATTCCTGGAAACAAAGTGAAAATATGAACTTTCTCCTCAATTAGTTTTCTATTAAATTATTAGCCATAATATTTGGGACTTTCGTAGTAAAAATATTTATTACAAGTCATAAACGTGATTGTTTGTTTGACAAAGTTTCTTATTCTTATTTATATTCATGATTATTTATATTTATTCCAGGAGATTTAGGAATCACTTTAATTCAAAAATTCAAAGGATTTTTCTCCTGATTATATAGGGCGATCACATTTATTGAGCAAAACTGGAAACTAAAGCTTGGTAATAACTGGAGCGAGTACATACATTAATTACTGCGTTATTTATACAGGGTGGCAATTTGAAAACTTACCACCCCCCATGTCTTAGTAAATAAACGAGATATTTAAAAAAATCAAAATCTGTTTCGGTAATTCGGAGGGGGAATCACAATGACATAGTTGGCTACGCACCCCCCTGCGCCCCAGTCACCCCAACTTTTAAATCTTAAATAGTGACCCTCCATGTGTGATATGTCGTTGGAAAGCTCTGAAAAAATTCATTCCAACCAATAGCATTACATTTAGGTTAGTAATTATCGCGCAAATAAAAAATAAACTAATCTTACTCTTAATATTAATAATTTTGAAACGACTTGGTTCTAGGGTCAGCGATTTTTATTAATTGGTCTCACATACAATAAAAAAAACAAAATCTCCATGAATCCATGGCCTACTATATATTTAAAAACGGTAAAAAATAAGACAATTATTTTTGGTTCATAGCTAAAATAATAAAAGATATAGATTATGTTACATCAATGTAATCAGCAAAAAGAATGCAAAAAAATTGACGTTAAGATATACAGGGTGTTGCATTAAAAAAATCAAATCTTAAAAACTACGTAAAAATATCTAAAATAGGCAGTTTTAGATATGATAACGTCCCAAAAAGTCAAACTTTTCGTTTTCACCCTGTATCTCAGAAACTAACGTAGCTAGGCCAATCCTGTTTGTCATATTAAGTTTTACGAAAACTACAAGTCTTTATTATCTTTAAAAACAGCTTAAAAACACCGTAGTCTCAACGTGAATAGGACACACTGTATACATACCTTTTAATTTAAGTTATCCTATTACTTATAATAGCATTTAATAAGAAATACTTTGATTCACAAAGAAATAAAAAAAAAGGTACAGACCATTGCTGTACGTGTCTAGGGGCGAATTAAAAAAAATTACGTAAGTTTACAATAAAATCAACTGCGTAATAATTGTTTATTATAAATTTGTAATACGAACTTCCGACCAATTAAAACAAGCAGTTAATTAATAGAGTATTAAATAATTATATATGAATTAGTACTTTAATTAAATGTACTTAATTAGACAGATCATGAATAAATTTAAAAAAATTAACAACGTTATGTATGAGCTTAAATTAGGCTATAAAGAGCACACATTTTGCATTTTGTTCTACTTTAATTAGTGTTTTAAATTAAATCGTTATCAGTATAAAACTCATAATCAAAGGGGAGAATGGTTTTCATAAGTTTCTTACCTGCCTATGCCGTTAAAGTAGTAGGAGCGGTAGAAGGGAGAAGTTCCCCTAACAAAAGGGTGCAAATTTATTGATCGTTCCGATAGGAGCGTAGGCAACACATCGTACACAAAATGATAGAACTAATTTTATTTTCTTCTCTTAATATGGAAATATCTTTATTTTACTGAAGCTACAATCTAATCTAGGAAAGCTACTAAACCCTAAAAATACAGCAGTGACGTAACGCCACTGTTGCATGTTATTTTAACCTTTCGCTTATGTCACAATCAGCTGATGATAGCATTTATAGGTTAAGTTAAAGTATTTTAAAAACCTTTGCATTTTAATTCCCCGCGTATAAACGTGCCTTTGGAAGTGTTTCGGTTAAAATGGAGACGAGCGAATTTTGCAATTATCGATCGCCATTAAGCACCAGATATGCGAGTAAGGAGATGCAGTATAATTTTAGTGATCAAAGAAAATTTTCCACTTGGAGACAATTATGGGTTAATTTGGCGAAGGCTCAAAAAGTAAGAATCGTTTTTTTCTATTTTTATTCTTATGGCGAGCTCTCTCTCGTTTCGCATACACTTTGATCAGGTGAGGCATCTACAGGGTGTTCCAACTAAAACTAGTCCATTTGCTAATGATTGGAGTTAACGAGTGAATTAGTTACGATGCTCAATTATTTATCTAGTTTTTTTTTAAATTTCTGAAGAGAATAAATGTTGAATTTAAAAATACATAAGTAAATAGTTTCTTTTTTTGCAATAAATTGGACACCTTTCATTAAGGATGATGAAGATAGACTATTCATGGCACTTTTTATTTTTGTAGGTGGAATTCAAAGTTAGCTGCTGTATTTAATAAAAAAATCCCAAAAAAAAATCATAGTTTCCTGTGAAACAAATTGACATCAGGTAGCTAAGAAATATTTTAATTATGCGATCTTCAGTTTTTTCATAGCAAAGTATGATTTTGCACTTTTTTTTAGAAAATTGTACAATAACGTGACAATAATAAACGCGAGAATAAACGCATCTTGTCTTTGCGGTTTCCTAAATCTCAGTGATATTAAACGATAAACATCGTGTATTATTTGATCGTCCGAAAAATAAAATAAAAGAACTCTCCTATTTATATGTTTATCAAGTTTATATATGTTATTATTTTCTTTAAACGTTAGGTATGCCCCATATAAAGAAAACAAGATTTCCCAAAGGCGGTACGAAGTGTGAATAAAAACGTAACCGATAATCTCGCCGATAATGAAACATAACATTTGTTGCTATTCGTTTGGCAAAAAGCTGACTTTCCAAATTTAGAATCAATTTTAAATAATAAAAAAAAAACGGTAAAGTCTACTTTGATTGTAAGGTCTCTAATTAGGAGTTTTAGTTTTTTTTTAAAAACCGTTCGGCATATATTTTAGTATCGATATCTCTTGACAATTGGTAAAGAAATTAATAAATGTTTAACAATTTTCTGGTGAGCAATTTCCCGGCACGGTTAATTTTTTTCATTCCAGAGCACCCCCCGCACTCCATAGCACCGCCCCATACCCTGTCAAATTCGATGCAAATATGTACTTGCTCTGCGCTCCCGAAAACCCCCGAGAAATGTGCGCCTTAGGACACTTCCTAGTAAATCTACCACCGAAGTATTCTCCTCCAGAATATTCTCCAAAGGAAATCGCGATTAAAAAATTCGCGCCGGTAAATTTCTACTTTGGAGAAGACAAACAAGCTTTTCTTCGCCTCAGAAAACTCGTCCCCGAAGAAACCCTCTCCAGAAAATTCGCCCCGACAGATGTTCGAACTTCCAAACTACCTTATTCGTTCATTTCTATAACGCCACGACTTTTTAACGCATTTTCCAACCAATATCGGACGGCGCTATTATGGCCACTTTCTCCGTCCGTCAGTCCGTCCGAGGCCTTGACTGTTCCGCAGACTGCGCAATGTGAACTTTCTTATTTATTGAAAATTTTTCGAAATTTTAACCACAGATGCTTCTATAATAGTAAAGCCAGCATATCGCATGTTGTAGAATCAGATGTGCGCATGCGCAAACTGCACAATGGCAACATTGCCAACGGTCTTGTTTAGGGAGACATTTTTTTGACATTTTTACCATAGATGATTGCTTCCAGTAAATAAAAACAGCGCATATATGTAGCTATGGTCTTTTGGCGATTCTTTTGGAAAGTACTGATCACTGCATGGAAAATGCGCTAATGCTACTCGTCTTAGGACGAAAACCTTTTTTAGTCTTTCTTTTCTTCTATTTTTGCATTCTTTGGGCACGAAATAATTTGGTATCCTTCCTTCTTTTGGATCACCGGTTATACATGCAATACAAACAGCTACAAATTTTTTCAGAGGTTGATATCTTTAAGAAACGCAGATTCAATTTTTTTTGATAATTCTCAGCTTCCACCACACATAATTTACGATGATTTTACTTAAAGATAAGCAACCTTTAAACCTCATATAAAACCAGGTATAAAACTGTCCTGCAGGTGACGATGACAAAGTTCAATCTTCTTTTTTTTTGTTATTGTGCATACGCGCTCGAATAACTTAGTACCTACTGAATGTAAACAATAGTCCCTTTGTAGCGAAGAAAAATATGACACTGGCACATTTAATTGATTTGGCCTTCACTGGTAATAATTTTTTACGCGACGGTAATTCGCCTACCCAACTGCGCCAGTTTATTATCTCCGAGATTATCCCTTTCCTTTATACAATTAACCTTATCTAATTTTAGTTTTCAACACGCAATACAAATTGGTTTACTGGTGTCCGAAAGCAAACGGAAACTTTTATTCCAGCAAAGGTCGAGGGAAATTATTTTTCAACGCAATTCCGTAATTACTTCCTGGTAATTCCCGACCGAATCTCTTCTAAAATTTCACCGGATTAACTACCCGCGGAAAATCTCTCAGAGAACAAATTTGTTTCTTACTCAAAACTGATTTTAAGGACCATGCATTGGCTCTAACGCGAATGAATCCAAAAATCTGCCGAAACAGCCCCTAGATAATTAATTACTGAATAATTAACGACTGTTTCAAGATACCTTCTAGTAATCAGGTAAACCATCATATCATGTATCATATCACTCGCTGAATTTTCCGCAAATTTGACAAATCCCACGATAAAAAATGACCTCATGGTTAATTCGCAATTCTAATATTATAATATAATATAAGATAACCGAATATAATCTAGGGATCGACCGTTACCGATGAGTCGGCCGTCCAATGGCCAATATTTTGGCCGATACACTCATACAATTGCGGGGTGATCGGTATCGGTCGATCCCTAATCTAATCCAATCCAAACCCTAGACGGGCGGCACCGATTTCCGGAACTAATTATGGGGTCGCTATACAGTTCACACAACCGCTAATTCTACCAACTGCCTAAGGACTTTGTTTACACCCTGTAGACTTTCTCTCTTCTGATTGAACTCGAATGAATGTTAATCCAATCAAAGGATTAGTATCGCTGAAATTAAATGCAATTTTCGAATCAATGAAACAAAATAACCAAAAATCCTTTGTTTGGTTTCGACGGATTTCGTGTGGATTTGAATTATCAAAAAATACAATACAAAATCTGTGTCATGGGAATAACTTTCATGGGTCGATTCCTATAGGAATATTAAAATTTCTTCGAACAAAATTAGAAATATGGAAACAGGGAGGGAGGGAGGTTGCGAATAATAAAAAATAGAACTTCCTTACACTGTTTACTATGCTTCAAATGCATTGTAAATTGAACGCTTACATCTTAAATAATCTATCCACGTGTTGTCATTTCCACTCTACATTTGTGTGCACTGAGTCCCTCTGCGCGCTATTCTGCTTACTGGCAGAGTTCTAGTAAGTGTTCCAGTTTTAAATTGTGGAGACACCACATAGCTACCTGCTTGTTTAATTGTTATACACCTTTCGATGTTGATCGTTCTAAAAGGGTACTGTTGGGGGCGGAAGCGTGCACTAAATACTTACGTAGGCTGCGTGCAATCCGCAACGGATCCTGGAAGTATAGGGCACGGTCGATCTGCACCAGGAACCCACGAGTTGCTCCAAACACTTCCAGAATTCGGATTAAAGCTTTGGAAAACTATAGTCCTTTCGACTGACGACGTAGTGTAGTTTGTGGCGAAACTGGACGTTGTACATTCACAGCCATTGTCGCTTACCGGAGAATGTTGTTCGCTAGTACTGTTACTAGTTGGGCAGCTTCCCGCCGAGTACTTATTGCGACTACCTACAATAACGCGCAATAAATCCCCGTGTCTTCCTCCCTTGCCACCTGAAGTGCTCCTCTGAATTGCGGCCAGTTTCTTCCTTTGTCCGCCGTAGACGTACTCGTCAGTGTTGCACGGGCACTCGCAGTCCGCGCATTTCAGTTGATAAGTGGCTAGGGGCTGCCTTACGCCGGCTTGCGAACTTCGCCTGGGTCCGGCGATCGAGCGGGGGTGGCACTCGCACGAGTGGTCGGATTCGTCTTCCGATCTTAATTGGCAGATTTGTCATGGTCGAGCCGGATTAAAACTTACCTCATCGTCGAGAGTGGGACGATGTTCTTGGAAACGTGGAAGGTTCCACCGTGACTGGGGGTCGGCCTTCTGTTAAATTTCCTCGTCTCTCCACGGGCGCATTTGTTATCGTCGACATGTTCGGGTTGTTCGCTTATCGATTTAACGTCTTCAGTTTCAATTTGGACTTGGACGCTTTTGTCGCTTAGTTTGGGGGACACGTGGTGCTGGAGCGGTACGGTTTCTTTGTAGAAACATTGCAAACGTGCCATGTCGACGACGTCGAATAAAAAGACCGATCCGGTGAAACCATAGGCGATTAGAAGTAATTCGTAATACCCGGTAGCGACGTTCGTCCATACCAGACAACCGGTGGAGACGTAAAACAGCATAGCTGCGAGAAGCGCCACTGGAGTCCAGAACTTCCACAGGAGCGGTTCGTTTGTCGTTGATACCAGTAGATTAATTAACGTTAACACACCAAAAGCCGCTGGCAGTGCCACCACCGTACTCTTAAGGGGATCGTGTAATGCCACGTATCCCATAAGAATGGTGCCGGTAGATAAACCGAAGCAGGTTGCGCACGCTACCTGAAAAGGGACGATGAGAAATGCGGACGGCAGGCGTTAACTCACAAATTCGCATATTTGTGTCGAGTTGTAAATCTGATTTTCCATTCAATTTGTCGTTAGCTTCCTTAGTCGGGTGACGTTTGGACGACATACGTCAATTAGTTGAGATGATTTGAATTTAGTCCAATAGATGGTACCACGATGGTACAGCCACTCTTCTTATAGTAAAACTCTTCCTTATCACTCCTAGATATGCATTTTTGCAACCATCTGTCTACTAATGACATGATTCATTTTCGCAACCTTTAAAGACTTTGGAAAATTTTCCCAAGGCGTGATTTACTGAAAACTCTTACACAGGTTGCGGACGATGGTCTCTGATCTCAAAAGGTATAGTCAGAGGA